GCACCCAGAGGATTCCACTGCTGGTTCTGACTGCAAGAGGCTGTTCATGGATCCTGCTAAGGCACACGTGGCTTCTGAGTGCTTCAGACATGTCAGAGAGCCCCCCAACCTCACCTACATCCCCCCCCAGAGCATTGATGTGCGGCCCTCACGCGGGGGCAGGAGGGGCCTGGGGCAGCCTGCAGGTGACGCTGCTGGAGGCAGGGGAGGGAAGCTGGAGCACTGTAATTCCCAAGAGACTGACAGCCAGGAGCCTTATGTCATCATTGACAGAACAGACCAGGCAGTGCTGTGCCATCACACCTGAGTCTGCAGTGCTTTATCTGTCATTACCTGGGGGGATTGTCCTCTCACCTGTGGCCTTGATCCTGTTGTCAGGGAGGTGATTAGCTTTGTCACAACAGTTCTAAAAATACCCAAACCACATCACTGCTTTGGGACAGTAAATAGCAGGAGTTGCACAAATTCCTAATGGTTCCTTTCACAAGGAAAGATGAAAGGTCACCTTTTTAGAGGGTAGGCAGTCTTCTATAAATTTAAATCCATTTAATTAATCGGTCAGATTCCTTTTGGCTGTTCTTAATGCCATACATGTTTCTTCAGCTGGGCATCCTACTTCTCTTTTTTCCCTTCACAGACCTATTCCTTCAATACTCTTCCAGTACAAGGTAAATCCTTCTAAACTGGAAGAAGTTTAGAAATGCCATACTGGACTGTTCTCCTTGACTTTCTGCATTCCTTTGAAGCTGTGTCTGAGCTAATCTTCCTCCTGACTTCAGCTGAAAACAGGTTTAGAAAGTTTGATAACATTCCTTGAGCTTTAAAGAGGGAAACAGCTCTGTGAACACTTGGTTTTGTAGAGGCATTAACCTGTGCTATAGGTTTTATATCTAACCAATATATAACCATTTGTTACCAAAGTATTTTGTGGCCACCACAATTTCCAAGAGAAGCCTTGAGCATTGTAACTGTTCACTGCCACCAGCAGAAAGAGGTCCAGCTGTGGCTGCCATTTCCCTTGGCCCTGCTCCTGACACTTAATTCTGCACAGAATTTTTCTGCAGGCTGGTTCATCTCTCTAAAACGAAAAGAAAAAAATCTCATTCTTCACCATTTTAATAGCAGGAAAAAAAATCTGCTCAGAGAAGAATCCCAGTGAGCAGCAGGGGCAGGATCAGGGATAACCTGCAGGTGGGAGTGCTGTGTGGAAAGCTCAGGAGTGTTGGATCACCTGGAAGCTGGGCTCCCAGCACTGAGAGCCTGTGTCACACACAGCTCTGAATTCATTTAGGAAAGCACACTGCTGCTCTGTTTAGGCACAGTCTCCAGTGCTATTTCTACAAATACCTTTAGAGGGTGGTGCCCAGCAGCAGGACAAGGAGCAATTTCCATAAACTAAAACACAAAAAATTTCATCCCAACATGAGGAAGAACTTGTTTTCCTGCAGGGGGCAGAGCCCTGGAGCTGATGTCCAGGGAGGCTGTGGAGTCTCCCTCTCTGGGACATTCCAAACCTACCTGGACATGCTCCTGTGTCACCTGCTCCAGGTCACTCTGCCTGGGCAGGGCTTGGACTGGGTGACCTCCAGAGGCCCCTTCCAACCCTAAAAATTCTGGGATTCTGTGATATACTTGTTAACCAGAAAGGCACTTTAATACTGCTTCAAGTAGCTTTTTCAGTAGCACTGAAATGTGTGCTGGTTTGGTCTGGGGCAGAGTTAATTTTCTTCACAGTGGCTAATACAGAGCTCAGTTCTAATTCCTGAAAAATTCCTTTTATGTACAATTAAAATATTAGCTGAAACTAATTTTGTATTAATTGTTTATAATTGACTATCATCCTGGAAAAAAAATTCAGAGGAGCACACATGGATATGACTAGAAAAACCTCAGGAACTAAAATATAAAGATTTGCTTTTTGAAGAACTAATGGTTGAAATTCTGTCATCCCCTGATTCCAGCAGTGTAGGAGGAACAGAATTCACCCAAGGTAATACCAGGGGACAGGACTGCCTTCAGCTCTGGGTGGGCTTGTGAGAAATAGGTGTTAGGAACAAAAGGGAGTTCAGAGGGCTGTGTCCTGACAAGTAACAGTGGCATGATTTGGGCTGTGAGAGTCTCTGCACTAAACCATAAACCATAAAGTGTACTAAACCATAAAGTGACATTTTCTGTGCTGTGCAAAAATGTATGTCCACAGTGAAATTAGAATTAAGAACAAACTGCAGATGACTGAGCTTCAAACGTGTAGAACCATTTCCACAGAAATCGTTCTTTTGGACTCTTGGAGAATAAAAAGTTTTGAAAGTTTAACAGAAGGTATCAAGAATAGCTGGTATCCCCCTACAAAGAAGCTGCAAGAAGAGAATTACTTGGCACACAAAACCTTACTTTTAAGCTGGAATTCTAAAGGGTTATGCCAGAGCAGTAGAATGGCATTCCTGGAATCACAAGCTTTGGTACCAGCTTAGTACTTCACTAGGAAATGCTCTCACTGTGCACTTGTTAGTAAGCTGCAGTGATTTAGAAAAGAATCAGCTGATCAGATGGGAATTCCAGGACAGGAGCTGCAGTTCCTGACTGGGTGTGGTTCTTTCAGTGCAATGGGTTTTAGGCAAACCACAACCCTACAAAAGCAGCACCATCAGGTATTGTTGAAAAGCCACATAACTGAATGTTTCTATCCTGCACAAAGTGCCTGACAAATGTCCGTACAAAGTGCTAATGAATGAAGCCTGGCTTGTTCCAGCTAAACCATCCGAAACCAGTAGGGGAAAATACATTCTGTACTTCTGGGATCATTCCCCTAAAATTACCCAGAGACTCAGTGTGAGAGCAGTCAAGAGTGCTGCAGTGAAAGGATTCCCTTGAGGGCAGCACCCAGAGAAGGGCAACTCAGCACCTCCTTTGACAAGTCCAAGAATGAAACCCCCACTGGTTTTCTGTACTCTCCAAGTACTTACAGGTCATAATAAACTGATTGTGACATAAACCCAAAAAAGTACCTGTGATTTTACTCCTTTTTATAAAAAAAAAAAAAGGCAAACCAGTTAAGAAATCAATTAATTCTAGGATGTTTTCAGAAACATTTGAAAAGAGTAACAAACAAAGTCCCATGCACCCTGTATTTTCACTGTTCCTCAACTCAGCCAGAGCAGGGCTGGGGTTCTCATGAACACAAATAAAATAAGCTCTCTATAAAAAGCTAGCTGAAAATACCCTCAGGGCCATTCTGCAGTCACTTAACAAAAACTGTGGGGTTTTTAAATTTTTTTGCACTGAATTCAGTGGGACTGCCAGTGCACAGTTCTCTTCAGAACTAAGCTGGGGGTTCTCATGAACACAAATAAAATAAGCTCTCTATAAAAAGCTAGCTGAAAATACCCTCAGGGCCATTCTGCAGTCACTTAAAAACTGGGGTTTTTAATTTTTTTTTGCACTGAATTCAGTGGCACTGCCAGTGCACATTTCTCTTCAGAACTAAGCTATATTGTGATATCCTGTAGAGCAGAAAGAACTTCCTGAATTCAATGAAATTGCATTAATGTGGGATTAGAGCAAAACACCATTTCAAACTGGTAAGATCTGCTTAACAAAGCTACTTCAACTCGATGGACTTCGTTTGCTGCCTCCAATGACAAGATAATGAACATCCCACCTCTGGTATGAAGTGTGTGTAGAGCCTGGGCAGGAAGGAGTCAATGCCTTGCTGTGCCTCAGGCACCTGATGGCCATTCTGGATGTGCCTGGAAAGGGGAACAAAGGAGCAGAGGGTAGGGCAGCACTTTCCTGGAGCCAGATTGCTGCTCAGGTCCATGGTGCCCACACAGCACAGGAGCACGAGTGGGCAAGAGCCAGAGGGGCACTGAGACCAGCCAGGCCTCAGAATGCCCCTGACTGCTGCCAGGGAGGCTCCACCCGAGCATGGCCCTCAGAGCTAGAGCTGACAGGAGGAATCATTTCCCTGGGGAGGGATACAGCTGTTCCCATGCTAGATGGAATGTCTGCAATCCTCTGAACCTTTGGTTTGGTGGGTACCACCCCAAGGGATCAAGGTTGAACATTGATCTGACCGTGGACATCAAAATTCCAACAATCCAGCCTTGCTGCTGTGAGATCACTACCTGCTCTTACCCTTGCCTTCCATACTCTGTGGTATTTTGTATCTGAATAGAAACGAACCCAAAGAGCTGCACCCCTCCTCTCCACTGCAATTCAGTTGTTGGAAAATCACAGAATTACTGAGGCTGGAAAATACCTCGGAGGTCTCTGGGTCCAGCCTGTAACCCAGGGCTGTGACCCATCCCAGACTTCCCCGGAGCCACAGGGGCCATCATGGCTGCATGCTTGCCCGTGACCTCATGGCAGTGGCCCTGGCACATCCACCCAGCCTGGCCAGGGCCCTCAGCAGAGCCTTCCCTTTGCTACCCAAGGGGAATAGCCCCTCTTGGCTGAGGGTCAGCTCAGTGCCCTCCTCCAGCCCATCAGAAAAGGCTGAGCAGGGCTGTTCCCAGCACGGATCCCAGGGGATCCCATTCCCACCAGGCTGGGCCCAGCCATCAGCTACATCCCATCCCAGCCAAGCTGGGGCTGCAGCTTCTCCAGGAGATGTCATGGGAGAGGGGCTCAAAGGCTCTGCTGAGTTCCAGGGAGACACATCCACAGCCTTTCCCTACCCTCCAGGAGGGGCACCTGGCCAGGGAAGATCTCCTAAACTCAGACTGGTAGGGGCTGATCCCGTGGTGATGCCATGGTCATCCCATGGCTGGTGATCCTGTGGTGATCCCGTGATGATCCTGTGGTGATCCCATGGTGATCCTGTGGTTGGTGATCCTGTCCCTGCCCTGTGCTCACACCCAGGATAACCTGCTGGGCACCAGGGCCAAGCTGAAAGCTCTGTCATAAACAAACCTCCCTCGTACACACCCTGGCCATTTGGTGTTGTTTCAGCCCAATTCACCCCAAGGGGATCATGAAGAGAAACCTCAGGTACCCTCCCTCAGAGGGATGTTGTAATAAACAGTTTATTTTAAATTACAAAAACGGGGCTGTCTTTGGGGGGGAAAAAACAAAGAAAGTAAAGTTACTTCTAGGAAGCAGCAGTGAAGTGGGAAATGAGGGAAACAAGCCATATTTTATCTGAACAGAACTGACACAGTAAAGCTGATGTTTTGTCTAAAAACACAAAGGGAATTGATTCATATTCTGTTCCTGACTGGTACCTGACAATTTCAGAGATCTAAGTCCACAGAGTTCTACAAAGCATAGTGCAAAAACAATACCATTATCTTTAAATATTAAAAATACCAACTCAGACTTCAGTAGATGATTTCTGATACAACAGTCACAGGCTTCTATAAGCAGTGTTGTCTGTTAGCTGGGTTCAGTATTTGGTCCCGGTTTTCCTCATACTTCTCTATCATTTTCTGCATGTCATGGTCAGCTCCAATAACCTTGGGGAGAAGAGGAACACTGACAATAACTGACACCATAAAACTTGCCTTCTTTGGAGCAGAACAGAACAGGACTACCAGTGCAGCCAAATTGGGATACTCCTAGGGATTTGCCCAAGCTGCTTTCTGCTGGGAATTTGGCATTCCCTGAAAAGCTCCATGGCTGATCCTGCAAGCAATGCCAGTGAGCAGCCTCTCAAATTCCACTGCAGAGATGGCAGACCCCTTTTGTGCTATACACCAACAGCTATCACATTTGTCTTTGTCCTTCTACAAAGGTTATCAGAAAAGCAGATTTATTTACTTTTACCACTAAACAATGCTCCTATTATTTGGAAAGCACAATCCCCCACATGCCTAATTGGTTATAATAAAAATAATACTCACAAGTACTGGGCAGGAAACTTCAAACAGTGCACGTTTAATGAGCCACTCTTCATAGAGCTCATGAATAGCTTCTAAATATTCCTAGAAAAGAAGCACTGGAATAATACAAATGCCCAGGGATGACACACACATTAATTGGGAAGTAGTTTGGGAAGTAGTTAAGAGACACATATAAAAGCTGCAACACGTATCTTTCACTAACAAAAAATGAAAAGCATCAGAAGGTTTTTCAGAAAAATTAATTCCCAGTACAAAGTTTAACTCCAGGAAGACCTTGAAGACACAACTTACAGGAGCACAGGGCTCTCAGCTCCTTTTATGATCAAGCAACCATGATTCTCTCCCACAGGTAAAATGTGGATCAAGATTTTACAGAGAAAAATACAACAAAGTAAGGACAAAAAGGGCAAGGCTGCAAAGAATATGTATGGGAGGCACTTTCTGTGTCAGTACATTTCCCTAGAATTCCCAGTTCACTTTCTTGTAACTCAATTTCCTCTAAAAGCTCTCCTGCCTGTCATGAACTGGCTTTTTTCTTCATGGAGACCACTTCACATTGCTCATTCATAACTGCTCCCCTCCTCTTCAGCAGAGCTGCAAAATAACACAAGGGCTCTTCAAACCCATTACAGGAGGATTTATTCTCCAAATTTCACATGGCCCGAAATTCAGCTCTTTGCACAGATCTTCAACTGATGATTGCTTCTCCTGAGCCACCCACCCAGGGCTGCAGGGGGAAGTGCATCCATGTCTGCTCAGGCTCCTTGAGAAGCCTCGTGGCATGAGGGGCCATGCTGTGAACTGGCACAGCAATCACTGTTCCAGCACCACAGCTTCTTTTAAAGCAGATTCCCAAGCTCACAGTTTTCAAGGAGCTGCTTCCTTTCAGCCACAGCAGAGACACTTTTCATGCACAAACATCCTGGTGGGAGCAGACAGCAAAGTGCCCACGGAAACCTCAGCACCTGCAAGCCCAGGCACCCCTGCTTCACCTGGGTGCTTTTGTGCCAGTTCATGGTACAATTGACTTTTACATCCTAGAGAAGATTACCAGTTGATTAATGCTGCACCTAAAGTCAGCTACAGTGCACTGATTACTACAGCAGAATACCTGGGAGAGTCAGCATGCAAGACAGATCATTTTTTAAAAAATAAATCTAAATTCAATATTCAGGGTTTAGTTTGCAGTGGAAACAGCTGCACCACATTCTGGCAATATACTCAGGATACAATTTTAATATTTAGATTGGAATAATTCCGTTTTCAAAGCTCCTTGTAAGCACATACATCAGAGGAACTCCTTACCAGAGGAATGACTTTTTCCTCTTCCCTGCATCGTGTCTTTAGCCTCTCATAACAAACTTTGGGAGATGTCTGCAAATAAACTGCAGGAACAAAAATGTTAATAGTTATGTTCAAGGATCAGCTTTAAAAGCAAAGAAGAAACTCACTTCACAAACTATAGAAGGGAAGGATCCTGGCTTGGGTACCACCACTGAACCTCCCCTTTGGCACTACCCAACCCATGAACCACCCACAAACCCAAGCTGTCTGATGGTGGTCACTTTTGTATTGAATAATGTGATTATTTATGAGCCAAGAAACAAGAATTATTTTTTTCTCCCAGAAAGGAAACCCACCCACAAACACAGCCCTCCAGACCCATCAAGACGTTACCTATCAGATCAACTGAAACATCAGTGTTGTTCTGGATCCAGTCAAACCATTCACTTAGGACAGCATAATCCACCTCTGGCATTTTTCCACTGAACAAACACAAGAGGCATCACTCACTCAGCAGCATGCAGAGATCAACTCCAAACTCTCATTTTGCTCACCTGACCACACTGCCTCCCCATTGACTTCAACATTTGTGAAAAGAAGCCCATGCAAATTGAAGGCCACATAAACCATTGTTTATAAAACAGAAAGACCAAATATTTTCCTTTTTTTTAAGTACTCAATGGTATTTATTGCTCAGGTTCTCTGTTCAAATCTGTCCCAGGGCATGTCACCAGAAGGGCTGGATTTACTGAGCAGCACCAACAATTCCTTACAGAAGCCACAGTAAAAGGCAGGAAAAATGTCAATGTGTCAATAAATTTACTCCCACTGTAAGAAATATTTGCAGAAAGAGTAGTGAAATATTCAATATGCTTAACTCTGAACTCAGAGCACAGAATGTTGGAGACAAATGTCCCAAAGGTAACTCAGCAACAACAATAAAGTATCAAACAACTCAAGTAAAAGGGAGTTACTGAGGACATGTTAAGAATCACATACTATGTTTTTATTAGTGTATCAATTTTCACTTATTACCATATTCCTGAGTGTCAAATATTATTAATTTTACAGTATCCTCTCTACAAAACTGGTGACAGTAACACATACTCCATACTCTTTCCTAAATGCTTCTGCAATAGAAAAAATGTTATTAAGAAGATGGAGTTGGGAGGCTCCTGTGCTCTCCAGCTGAATGATTAAGACCAGTTAGGCTATTTTAAATAGGATTGAAGAAAAATAGTCCACAGATTTCTAAAACAGTCCCCTTTGATCACTTGCAAAAGTGAGCAAAAGTAATAAAAGATATTTCCCTAAGTATGGAAAAAAGCGAAATCCCTGTTTGTCCACCTCCCCTCCTGATGTGCCATCTGGAAATGGGGTAACACTGCTCACTGCTGCTCTTCTTGATATCACATCAATTCTGGGTAGCAGGGATCTGCATCAGCCAAACTCTGATTGTGCTACTTTCCTCCAGGATAGATGGGGGAAATAGAAAGGCTGAGAGGAAATAAGAAAAAGCTTCACTGTTCTTACCCTAAAAGACAAATACATCCAAGTCAATTCTGCACTGACCGGCCCTACAGACAGCTTTCTTTCCCTGGGTAATCCTGGGAGGACTCTGGCTCAACATCCATAAAGATACAGGGTATACAAAAGGCACAACATGGTGTTTAGATTTCCAAAGTTTGCTGGCATTTGGCTCCTACAAAGTCAGGTTTTTACTGCCTAAGTCCAACGTGAACAGAGTGAGTTTCTATCCTAACCAGTGATGGACTCAGAGGGACAGTGAACTGCAGTGCTCACCTACAGCACACCCTGCACACTCGTGTGTACACACTTGAGACTCACCTAACACAGCCAGACTGACTCCTTTTTTAACGTGTCACAAAACAGTTACTTTCACACATTCCTCAATTATTCCTTCTTTTATTTATAATCCTTTTACACATCCTTTTCTTTTGTCTTGCTGTTGGTACTAGCAGCTGCCTTCTAGCTTGCTGTAACAAAACAAAGCAAATGCTTTTTTTTCAACATTTAAAAAGTGCAAAACATCTTAGATGCCCTTAAAATTGTTGTTATTATTAACTCACAGTGTTGCCACAAACAGATTTAGCCTCATAGCAACTAAGCCTTTAGGAAAAAAAGTACTTTGTCTACAGTGAAAAAAAAGAAGCCAGTGACTAAAAATGAGGATCTTCCAGGCTGCTTGCCATGTGTGGACTGGGATGAACAATGTGTGTCTCTCCCCACTTGCAAAGGCTTTCCCGTGGCAGAGAGGTGCTCGTGCAGCATGGATGACACCTTGTGGCACAAACTGGATTTGTACCTCAAGGCCACGGAAAAACCCACTAAAACCCATCCAAACAAACAAACAAAACCCTGATTCCTGCAATATTTCCGTTACTTTGGGACAGGGGAGTTGTACCTAGGGCAGTCAGGTGTAACTGTTATAATTGTTCTTTCTTTACTCACAGCCTACCAAGGCTTGCAGTCTATTTTGATCCTGTCAATCCTGATCCTGAGCAAGAGCACAGGACTTGAGACCCTGCTTGCCAGAAATGCCAATCCTGGATGCCAGGCTGGATAACACTGCCCAGCCTACAGTCTTAATTCTTTCTATCTTTGTGGTTTTTTACCTGTCCAGCATGTGTTTGATTCAAGCAAGATTTGGGTATTCAGCTGGAGAGCCAGTAACTTCAATAGATGGTGTCTAAATAATACTGAGTGCTAAATACTCAGGAGCACTGCTGAAAAAGGTTTTCCAGAGTCCTACAGGAAGTGGGCATCACAGCCCATACCAAACACACCGCCACTCCAACACAGAACTGGCAGATTTCACAGGCCCCTTAAATGCACATTACCAAAGAAATTATCCTTTGATTAGACAGATATTTAAAATAATGAATCCAAGAAAGTAAAGCAGAAAACCACATGCCATACCTTCGATAGAGGTTTTCCACAAAAATGTGTTTTGCACTGTGAATCGACCGCTCCATCATCCTTATGGGGGAAATCTGCAACACAAAACTTGACTCTCTACATTTTCATGCTTGTTTCTTTTCACACTCATGTGGCACATATGAAATACAATTTTCAGATCTTGTGAGAAACAAACTTACTGGGAGGGTGGGAACTACAAAGCAAACAAGGACTCCTGATCTTTCTCTGATTTGTTATTCAGACACCAGTTCAAAGCCAAGTGCTGAGCTTCAGCTGAGCAGTGGAAGGTAACTCAGGGTACAAAAAAGCAGCAATCCATTTGGGATCTGCAGGACAATGGGAACTATTGCTCCCCAAAGGGCTGCTCCATCCCATGCACTGCTGGGTCACAGCACACAGCTGACATCAGACACATTCAAGAAAGGAAACAGGACTTTTAAAAGGAGTAACTGGAGCTGACAGAGCCCTGGCCTCAGCCAGCCCTGCACGTGTTCCACCAACACTTCATGTTGGAGCAGGGAGATCCTCTCACACTCCTGGGCCTGGCAGAGCAACTTCTCACCCAGGTTTCTGCACATTAATGAAGCAAAAACGGCTCCAGCAAGGCTCAAATGACAATAAAGCTCAGATTGAAACAGAGGGAAATCCTCAGGAATTCTTGACTGAACTTCTTCTCCAACAGAACAGGATTTCTATTGTCTTAGAAAAACACCTCTTCCAAAAACCTAATGATTATATGTGCCACTTTCATATTTGGCACCACCAACAGCTTGCCCTGACACAAACTCAGAAAACAGAACATAAGAACAATCAGTAAAATATAAGCATGGCATCTAAGACCAGGTCTTGTAATTAGGGAATGGAAGACAGCATAGAATGTAACAAAAGGTGCTTGAAGGAGAAAAGAATAAAGAAATCCTGATAAAAAGGTAGGATATGAAATCTAGTATTAGAAAAAAGAAAAAATTACAAGAAAAAAAAGGACGTCAACCACCTGAAAAAGGAATAGAAAATGGTAGTGGAAGTATTTTGCATAAAGAGAAGAAGCAATTGCTAAATTTGTACTAGACAGCATGAAGCAGTGCTATGAATTCTAACATGAGATTACTTGGTGTTTGCCAAAGATTTGAAAAAATGAAATTACAGACGAATCACTGACATGAAATGAGGAAGAAATTTGTACAAGCCTAGCCCTGGAGGGTGTGCCCAAACAGCAGGATCAGTTTGGGGAAGCTGTGAGCAGGCAGGAGGCAGAGGTTTCACCCCCAGAGCACACGCTGAGCATAACAATGTCTGCACCACAGAAATTCCTACCCACTGCAGGAACAAAGAATGAATGCACACACTGCATCCTAACTCTTGAATAGAAGGCTAAAAATATTTAGCACTCATAACCACATCTAATTACTCTTAAAATTAAAAGAAGTTTCCTTACCATGGGCCTGGTGTGCTGCTCCAGCATGGTCAGCTGCACATAGGTCTGCAGAGTTATCCCCCACCTTGATGCATCCTGGTACATCAAGCCCTGGGGTCAGAGATGGAAGCAGGACAGATGGACATTTGTTAGGACACACAGCACAACAGGAAGTTGGGTATTTAGGAAGCTTTTGCCCTATACAACAGCATTGCTCTAAGAAGTGCACTAAAACAGCTGACATCAGGTTTGATCAGAATGAAGGGATCATTTGCTCTCCACAATGAAGATAGAGAATTACAGCCCTGTCCCTACAGATACTGATGGGAGGCTGGCTGAAGTCAGCAGGAATTAGTTATTCTGCACATGGAACAGTCAGAACCAAGTAATGAAAAAAAACCTACCTACTACTCTATTTTTGTGCCCTGACAGACCCTCAGTGCATCCAGAAATCATACAGGGTTCTAAGTATGGCCTGGGCCTCAGGAAAGGTGTCCTTTAACACAGGCTATTCTTCCCAAAGGATCCTCACAGCAGCTCTCATGTAGCTGTTCTACTTTCTGATTGCTGCAATTCCACACTCGGATAGAACTTAAAAACATCAATCTATCCTGCACAGCAGAGAAAGGATTTCACTCAAAATAAAACATCATTCAGTGTCTGTTGGCGAAGGTGACAAGTTTAAGCCAGCAGCAAAGCTTCAACCCACAGGTCTGACCTTCTGCTTTGCTCCCTGCCAAGATCAGACTTTCCCACTGCTCCAAGGCTGCTGTGGTGTCATGCAACACATGCCTCACCCCTTTCCTAACAATCAGAAAGGCATCAGCAACTCCTGGGAGGGACAATTTACTGTTCCAGAGGGCCTGTGCTAACACTGCTGCTATTTAACATATGCCAGGGCAAGTATGGCTTGGGGTGTGTCCACACTGCAGAGCCTCAGCACAGACCCCTGCCTCAGCCTCAGTGGGGATTCTGCAGAGGGGCTGAGCCCCAAGCCCAGGGCTGACAGCAGGGACCACTTCCAGCATCCCAGCAGGGCCAGTGTGCAGCTGGGACCCAGGGACGTCCTGGGGGAGCAGTTGCAAGAAGACTCGGCCACTCAAAAGACAACAGAAGCCCTCAGCTCCTCACTGGGCTGAATTTTCCTTACCTGCAGCAGCCACAGGATCACAGATTCATGCAGGGTTAAAGGGTTGGAATGGCTTTAAAGCTCATCCAGTGTCAGGGCCAGTGTGCAGCTGGGACCCAGGGATATCCTAGGGGAGCAGTTGCAAGAAGACTCAGACACTCAAAAGACAACAGAAGCCCTCAGCTCCCCTTCTCCTGTCCAGGCTGAGCAGCCCCAGCTCTCCCAGCCTGGCTCCACAGGGGAGGTGCTCCAGTCCCCTCAGCACCTCCATGGCCTCCTCTGGATTTGCTCCAACAATTCCATGTTGGAGGCACCAGAACTGTCGGCCTCCTCTGGATTTGCTCCAACAATTCCATGTCCTCCTTGTGTTGGGGGCACCAGAACTGTTCACAGAACTCCAGTCCAACAACATTAATTGGTCAGATCCACCCCTCACCTCACCTCCTTCCCTTCTTTGAAACAGGCACAAGCACATTTAGAAACAACTGCCACACTCAGGGCTTACCTTCCTGGGAATTGCTTTAACTCCCCCCATGGGACACCCAGTCCTTGCCAAAACCACACTTTATATGCAGTGCTTCTATTACATGCATGTCTTAACTGCAGTAGAAGCTCTTTTGCTGTGTGGAGCTTTAGTTTTTGCTGTGTGAGATTTGGATCACACCTTTTGTAGCAGTTTTGCTGGCTGATAAAAAGCCATCACACATGTCTTGCTAAAAGAACAACCACTGTAACTGCAGGAATAATTTCTGCCACTTACCAGGATATTATGACCTCGAACATTCCTCCACTTGGTCAAGGGTTCCTTCAAAACCTGGTTAAAAATAATTACTCCATGTTAAACACATCTTACATTCAAAATACTTAATGTGACCCTACAAGTGTACAACTATTCTTAAGGAATACTTGTGCAGTAAATCAGAGTATTCAGGACTTGTATTGGAAAGCTCATCACACTTAAAAAACTAGCATTGAATTCTGTAACACAAAAGGTAATAATGAAAATAATGAACACTGCTAAAAATAGAGACATGTCAATATCCAGCATCTTCTTAGCATTTTTAAACACTGACAGATTACTTCATAAGCCTGGAGGGAATTTTTTTTAATCAAAATCAGTGCCATGTAAGGGAAAGAACAGCTTTGCAGAGTACTTAGCATTTCAATGACAAGCCCATCCCCTCACAAATTAACTTCTCATAAAGTAACACTTGTTAGCAAAGGAAGAGGATCAGACTGCTACCACGTTAATTTTTATTTTATTTTTGTGTTCTATCAAACAAATTGTATTAAAATCTTTTACAAAATTAATCAGATTTTTCCCTGAACAGGTAAAATCACAAGAGATTTGCCTGGTTCAAACAGGGTCTAAATCTACAATAATACTGTAGAGTCAGGCCTAGGGAACTTAAGTCATCAGCCTGGGAACTTTCAAACAGGGTCTAAATCTACAATAATACTGTAAAGTCAGGCCTAGGAGAATGTCATCAGCCTGGGAACCTAAGTAGCTACTTAAAAATGCTACACTGTAGGCAAATTAAAGTATGTTATCCTTTGGATTAACAGTTAATTACTTCATAAGGACAATTCCTGTTAAATTACCAAAAAACATCTGGCAATCAAGCATTTCTATGAGGACTCCTAAAACTTATTGCCAAATGTGTAGCCAGGTCTGTTGGGGAAAGCATTAATATCTGTTGTACAAGAACAATTGTTCACTGACCTTGATTTTGTTTAAAATGCAACAAGCCTGCCCTTCCCCTAACCTAGTTCTAAGCAACATGAAATCAAACACCAGATCAGTCTAAGAAATCTCCTGAAACAGTTCTAACAGATTTTCCTTTTATTAAAAAAGCCATCTATTCACTGGGATCTCTGTTACATTGCATAAGTATTTTTACATAATAATTCTTTACTTTGCTTTTACCAGACCCATCTAAGATTTCAGTGACATGAAATGGCAAACAGGCAAGTCCAAACATGCCCATGCTCTGTGGGCTGCTGTTATTTTACAAAGGCACAAACACTGGTTCACAGGTTTTTCTGGTATTTTGGCATCCAGTACCTACCACATGTGATCGACATTTCTGTGCTGCAATTTGACTGTAAAGGTTGGGGTGGTGCCCCAGCGAGCCCCTGGCTCAGCCCCTGCTGCTCCCTCCTCTTGCACCCAAGGACATGCTGGATCTAAGACAAGCAGCTGCTCAGCGAGGGAAACAAGGACAAAGAAATTGCATCCAGTACCTCAATGCTGGTAGTCTGTGCAAAATAATCCAGGCATGTTGTTTTTCCACTGGCAATGTTGCCCTCGATACAGATCTGGTGAAAAGCAGAGTCACTTTGTCACACTGTGGCAGAGCAGTGACAGTGTGTCAGAAATGCCCCCTGCCCATTCCAACATGCCAGCCCCCCACGCTGGGCACAGATTATTTCATGGGATCCGTTTGGATGTTGTCACTCTCCCAGACTACCACAGCCAGCCCCAGTCCTGCTTCCAGCTTCCTTCCCCTTCCCAGGACCCTGGGGGTTCCAGAGGGTCACCTGCTGCTCCCCACTCTGCCACCTCAGAAACCTGACTCCCAGCTTTAAATAAGTGCCAGCTGGAGCAGTAACTTCAGCATCCATTATATAGACAGCTTAAACCTTAAGATGGATCATATTTTTATTTCCAGAAACCTAAACAACTAAAATAAACTAAGAGAATTTTTTTCAACTGTCTTAAAATAATTTATAGTCCGGGGGGTTATATAGGCAATGGCAAGGTTACACATGCAACACTGAACCCAAACTGCCACCTGTCCTGTCACAAGCCCTCACAATTTTTTTCATGGATCTCCCACGATTTTACCACAATTTTCAGAACTAGACCAGCATAGCCTCGCAGAGGGTATGACCCAGTGACACAGCTAAGGCCTACAGCTGCAAACACACACACACTCAAATGACAAAGGAATTACAATGAAAGAGGCTGCACTTTTCTCTTTGTTTTCTGAACAAAATGCAAATACTTACAATTCTCTTTCTAGCATCTTTTTTTATCAGATGCTTATCTAGAATGGAAATAAACAACAGTTAATATCAAAGCAGTCTTCATAACTTAGTTATACTGAGTCTCTTAATGTGAGATCCTCCAGGCCAGTTTTAGCTTCCCTATAGCTTATTATTACCAAATTATCAGCCTTCAAGGTTCAGGTAATTATTGGGTCATGTAACACACACTGTGGCATCGACTGACACAGATTTAGCTGAAGCTCTCCACTGTCCCTGACACTGCCAAGAGTCCGATGGTGAGTGCTCACACTTCCATCAGATTTTTGCTCCATCTGCTGCTCCTCAGTGGGTCTGCACAGGGGAAAAATGAATTTTGGAAAGACCAGTTGGAGCAGCACCCACTGGCCTGACAGACCCGGCAGATTACAGAGCAGCTCCAAAACAAGCACCTTACACCTCAAACCAGCAGCAAAAGCCTGTCCAAGCCAAGCTGAGCTGACAGGACCCTTCACCCAGCCAGGCAGGGACGGGCTCGGCGGTTAGCCCCGGTCAGAGCTCCAGTCTGACCCCGCTCCTGCTGCCCCGGAGCCGCTCCCGGCTCCGACCCCGCTCCTGCTGCCCCGGAGCCGCTCCAGCGCATCCCGAGGGCCCGCACGGAGCCGAGGCCGGGCCCAGGAGCGGCCGCCCGGCCCGGCCCGGCCCCGCGGTTCCCCCGCCGGCCTGACCCGCGCGCCACATGGCCCATCCCCGCCGCCGCCCGGACCGCGCCGCACCGGCCCCGGCCCTTCCGCCGCCGAGCCGCCACTTCCTCCGCCCCGGCGCTCTGAGGCGGGGCTGGTTCAGCGCCGGCGATGGCCCCGGCATCACCTGCAGGATCGGCCCCGGCATCTCCCCGGCTCCCGGCGTCGTCGCGGGGTCCCGGTCCCGCCGCGCAGCGCCCGGGCCGCTCGGCCGCCATGGGGCGGCTGCAGGTGGACCGGGCCTTCCCCCGCTCGGCGCGGGGCGCGCTGAAGATCGCCCGCACGGTACGGCCCGGAGCGGCCCGGGCACCGGGGCAGGGCCCGGGCCGGCGCTGACCGCCGTGCCCTCCTGTCCCGCAGCTGGTGGCGCTGGCCGCCTTCCTGTGCTTCGTGGCCTCGGGCGCGCACGAGGCCTACACGGCGCTGGCCGGCATGGAGACGGTGATCACCGTCCTGTTCCTGCTGCTCTACCTGCTGAGGCTCGACACGCGGATGCGGTGCCTCTTCTGGCCGCTGGCTGTGAGTACCCGTGGGCTCCGAGTGCCGGGGTGCTCCGGCTCTGAGTACTGATGGCTGTGAGCACCCGAGTCCCCGGCCGTGAGTATTGATGGGCTCTGGGTACCCATGTCCCCTGGCCGTGGGTACCAGTGATCTGGCTGTGTGTATGGCTGTCCCCTAGCTGTAGGTTCTGCTGTCCCCTGGCTGTGGCTGTCCCCTGGCTGTGGGTATGGCTGTCCCCTGACTCTGGGTGCCACTGTCCCCAATGTCTCCTGGCTGTGGGTACCACTGTCCCCAATGTCCCCTGGCTGTGGCTATGGCTGTCCCCTGACTGTGGGTACCGCTGTCCCCAATGTCCCCTGGCTGTGGCTATGGCTGTCCCCTGGCTGTGGGTACCACTGTCCCCAATGTCCCCTGGCTGTGGATATGGCTGTCCCCTGGCTGTGGTTACCACTGCCCCAAATGTCCCCTAGCTGTGGGTTCTGCTGTCCCCTGACTGTCCCCAATGTCCCCTGGCTGTGGGGCCGCTGGCTGTGAGCAGCAGCAGGCCCATGGCCAGGAGGGATCCCCTGTCCCAGAGGATGTGTCAGAGGCTCGGTGATTGTTTCTGCGCAGGTAAGGCAAGCCCCAGTGCCCTCTGGAGGCTGAGGCAGTTTCTCCTAAGGGAGCGTTCTGTTCCATCAGTTCTTGGGCGGCTGCTGGATCCAATGACAGCCCCTCCCGGCACAGGCACTGTTTGCCTTGCTGTGTAACACCTTCACGTCACAAATTAGTCACACACTTTCACCCAAATACTAACAAGTTCTCCTCTTACCTCCCTTTTGTACATGTATTTGCTGCTTCAGTCTATCAGGTGTAGCCAAATTGCAAACATTTGATGCAAAAACAACAGAAGAAAGGTAAAACAAGGAACTTTTACTATAAACACTCTTTTTTTTGATCAAACCACTGGGTGTCAGTGTCCCCTCACACGGATATTGCTGTAACTCTGTCTTCATGGCAGTCCAGCTGTTTTTAACCATCCCTTCTGTGCTGGGAGCTCTCCACACTCTCCTTCAGGCCTGTATTTCACAATAAATGTTTTGCTTCCACTGGCTGTTTCAGGATATTTTCAACTCGGTGATTGCAGCATTGTTCCTCCTCGTTGTGGCCTTGTTTGCAATAATAATCAAGACCAACAAGGGAATATTGGCTGGAGGAGTAAGTAGGAGCATTGTTAATGAATTTCAGTTCTTAGAGTGCAGCGATTTGAATCTCTTAGTACATTCACATTGTGGTAGGACCGTGCAAACAACTGTCTTGGAAGAACACTCTCTGCAGTAGCAAACAAGTTACATCCAGTGTATCTCACTAAAAGAAAATAATCCTCACATCACTAGTAATCTGAAGATGTTACAAGACTTAGGAATACTGCAGAGAAGTACGGAAACACTGAACATTTCCAGAGTTTTTAAGTAACCTACATTTGCTACCATAGCTTGAAATCCTAGGTAGGAGAATCCCCAGCTCTTTTAGGACTACCCAGTTTGGTTACTATGAGAAAAAATGACAACTGTCTTATTAAAAGAGTTGAAACTTTTTAACAGGCACACTGGTACCTCCATCCTGGCCTTTACATTATTTTTTGTGACACAAACGGAGGAATTATGTCAGTTAAAAAGGGGTTTTGTTCATACTATGATTGTAAGAATTTTGTGTTCTTAAGATGAAATCAGTTTAATAGTTTGAGTAATTGGTATTTTTAATTCAAATGGCAATTAATGTAATTAACCTTAATAAATAAGGAGGGGAAGAAAACCCCTCGGTTTTGAAAGTCTCTACAAGTACAAGAGAAGCTGAAATGTGACAAGCAACCAAAAGAAACCTAAAAGCTGCCACAGAGCTCTTTCAAACTCAGCTTAGGAGATGGTAAGGGGGAAGGCTGGTGGCTTCACTGGCAATGGCATCCCAAGCAAAAAGGAGACTTTCTGATAGAGTGACTGTGCTGGAATAGAATTTATATTCTCAGTTGTGAAGTTCACAGAAATTAAAGGCGGGAGCAGGAGACCAAGCAGGTAGCTGGGAACACAAGTTTGGGTGGAACATGTGATATCTTCAGTGCTGGAAGGGACAGAATCACCCCAGCCTGTTCTCCTGAGGCACAAACTGCCTTGAGCTGTCCTCTCCCCAGAGTTCTCCTGAAAATAACTCCCCTGATCAGATAATGCAGTGCTTGCATAAAAAACCCCAGTGTGCAGTGGGATGGGGCTGAAGGGCAGGAGCTGACTTAACTCAGTGGCTTTTCTGCAAACACATTTTTCCAGTTACCTTCCTGTGGTTGTCTATTTCTTAAATAATTCAGTACATTGTGTTCAATTTGGAATGTTTCCCATTCAGAGCTTCAGAGGAGAAGAGCATTTTCGTGCTGGGCTTGTTTCTAGGAATACTGACTTTCCCTTGACTTTTCTCAGGGCCGGTCCCATTAATTAAGCAGACTTTAATTAAGGGACAGAAGGGCTTTCATTTAGGATAAAAGCATTGTCTGGCATAATGCAGCATTAGCTTAGCTTTCAAGGAGAGCACCACACTACCTCCAAGGCCTGACACAAAAATCAAACAGAGCAGGCTGTAGACAGCTCTCTGAAAGCCTGATGGGATGTAAATGTGGGTGTTATTTAATGTATCAGCTGTCTCAAATCACACATATTTTCAAGGCCAGAAACAAGTATATGTTTACTGATGAGTCACTACAGTAAAAGTTCAAGACTGATTGGGGGAACTAATTTTATGGTCATTTTTATAGGTGTTGGGTCTTATATTGCTTGTTCTCTGCATTGTCGACGTGGTTCTTCTTTGCAAGAAGATTAGCCTTGATAAAGCAAGAGGAAGGAGTGCTCCTGCCAAATAAGGATGACATGTTAGTGAAAGAATAAGTTCTCCATTCTGTTTTTGCACTTTTTTAAAAGAATTTGCATTTTCACATGCTCACTTTTGAATTTCATGTGCACTGATGTTTCTGCAGTATCATTCATAAGGTTTTGTACTTTTACAAATGCAGTTTCAGCGTTGCAGTTTCACCAGTTAAAGCTTCAGAGAAAATTGTTGTGTTTTTCTAAACTTAATTATGTTTTTACCTGTATGAAAATTATTTTCATGGTTGTCTTCTTTCTCTAATAAAAAGAAAATACAAACGGGCGTAAGTGCATTATTTAATCTTATTTACTAAGTGTAAAAAAGTACACTAGAGTAAATGTACCTTTTAAAGTCAAGTAAAAATGTAATGACCCAGTAACCATCCTTTGGAAAGATTTTCTTGTGCCATGTGAATTTCATGTTAAAGCGTCCGCCGTGGCATTTGGATCCTGATATTTCAGCCGTGATTGGGGTTTGGGCTGGGTGAGCCCCAGCGCCCGGCGGTTCTGTGTGCTCGGAGCGGCGGGGCCAGGGGCTGCCCGGCTCCATTGTCCCGGGCTGGGGGCGGGCGCTGGGGCCGCCCCCCACAGCTGGGGATGCTGAAACTTTTTTTTTCACGTTTCCGCAGTGTCACGATTTCCGCTTCCCCCCTTCAGAGAGAAAAAAAAAAAAAAATCAAAAAAAAATTCCACGGCCAACCCCCATCCCCGCGGCTGAGCCCGCGCCCGGCTCGAGCCCAGCCCGGCCCGCCCGCCGCCATGGAGGACCCCGAGCCCGCGGGAGCCGCACCAGCGCCCGGGCTGAGCTCGCTGCTCCCGCCCCGGGAGTTCTTGCGCTCCCGCAAAGGGCAGCTGCTGCTCGCAGAGTCGGTAAGGACGAGACACCGGGGCTGGGGGGCTGCGGGAGCCACCCCCGGGGCGGCCCCACTGACCGACCTGCCCCGGGCCGCTCCCTGTGCGGCTGAGGGGAGAGGGGCGGCAGCGGCGGGGACAGCCGCGGAGAACAGCCGAGGGGAGACGGGGGCAGCAGCCGAGGGGAAATCTAGGGGAAAACCGGGGAAAAACAAATGAGAGGAGCCGTGGGACAACAACCAAGGGGAAAACTGGGGAACAGCCGTACCGGAATGGGGGAACTGCGGGGCTGTCCCAGAGCATAATGGATTTAGCGTAATTCGGGCAGAGCACGTTAGAGACCAGAACTCGTCACGTTTGACTTCCAGTGTATTAAGTGTGTTTCGCTGTCGGGGACCCCTTTTCGGTGAAAAAGCGCTTTGATTTCGTTTTAAGCCCTTTGCAGAGTAATCCAGTAACCCACTAGGGCTGCGGTTTGTATGATCGGCTGGTGCCAGGTGAGGGGGCAGCCTGTCCTCAGTGTGTCAGGAAAGACTTTTCTCATGGATTTGTGATGTGTGGCATCACGGTCGCTCAGCTGCTGTCCCGAGCCCTCCGGAGCTTTGTCCCTGACCCTCAGAGCGATGTGCTTGCTCTCAGCTGTGGAGCCCTTGGGCTGGAGAGCTGCCCAGAGGGAAAGGCTCTGGGGTGCCCAGACAGCGGCTGGGCACAGCCCAGCTGGGCAGAAGG